AAGTGAACCCTTCGTAGTACCGGAAATCCCAGAAAGTTATCTGCCGAAACAAAAATCCGCTCGTAGTAAATACCCCACCAGTTTTGATGGAAATTGAGTTCAAACCTCATAGTCTTAAAAAATAGAATTGTCAAGTTCTCTTCTGGCATTTATTAAAATCCTAAAACTGATCTCAGATTAAATAACACATCACTCGAAAAAAAATCCATGCCTTAAATATTGTCTTTATTAGATTATATAGACATGGAAATTAAAGGTGCCGAATTTGTATATATTTTTATTTGTATTTTATTTTTCAAGTATATGTTCAGCGTTGTAACAGTATCACGTTATCCTTGTCCCAAACAACCTGTTTAAAGTAGTATGTAATATGAAGCCCGGAGACGTTGAAAAGTATTTTGATTGAATTGTTAGATTAGGATCGGAACTCTCTAGACAGGTACAAGTAGATTTTATTGATATATTCCATGATTGTGTAGCCTACTTAAAGTTGCTGCCCTCATGTTTTCTGCAGCGCACCTGGAGGAGATCCAGCGTGAGGAGACACACCAACAGCACAGTGGCCAAAGAACACCAACCTGCCGGTGCAGGCACTCGCGCGGGAGGTGGGCCGACACCGGGGTGGTCAATCCTGTCCGAAGTCATGATCGCCTGTCTGGCAAACGAGGACATCCCGCCAGAGTCGCGTTTAACCGAAATATTCCGTCTATGACGGAATTCTTTGAACATGACGGAAAAATGCTGAAGCAGTACCGTCATTTGACGATACAACAAACTCAGAACAGCGCCAACGTTTCGCCGCAGCCAGGGCTCCGTGTTATCCTTATGTCGTTTCAGACTAACTATGCCGTAATACAAATCATTAAATGTCTGGGAGTTTATGCTTTGCGCTGTGGCGCGCTCCCGCACAACACGGCATAACACCGGCGCTAGTATTTCATTTTTTCTGGTCATAATAATTTGTTATGTTAATTCCATTCAAAACAAATATTTGTAATTCCTTCACTTGCATAGTTTGTGCAAACATTAAACCCGTTGTTATTCATATTTATAAGCTAATAGTTTAATAGAAATGTTTATTCTTAAGGGTTAGTTAGATAGACGTTATATATACATCTAATCTAGCTCTTAGCAAAGCAGTAACATGTCCCACATGTTGCTTGTTCTCACCTGGTCACCCATCTGGAGTCAATATTCTTTCAGCGTCTCGTGTTTCTAGATGAGACTGTCGTACTAACTGCTCGTCTTGTTTCAGGCGCTGGATGTCCCAAAGTTCCTTTTGAAGCTTCGTCAGCAGAGGATGATGATGGTCCAGACCTTCTCTCAGTACACCTTCATCTACAAGGTCATCATCCAGTACCTCCGCAACTCCAGGCTCATATGAGTGTGTGTTCAACCCTCAGTACACACCACCACCATCACAGGTTATTGAAGGGTGGAGTCTGCCCCAGGTTTATGCCAAACTGCACTGTGATGATGATGATGATGATGAAGCAGCCGTATGAAACTGCTCACTGTAGCGCTCTGAGGACTCTGATTGGTCAAGTATTAAAGTCAGGCGTCTGAAGGAAGGATGTGTGGATACACAAACATGAAGGAGCATAAAGACTTACGACCTGCCTCTAAACAGTATTATATATATTATTTTTTACATACAATATTGCTTAATAAAGCCCAGCACTTTTACAGTACTTAGCTGTACACGATGAACCAATGTTAAGCTGCATTATGAAACTCTTTAGGATAGATGGGTTTCATTGGTTCTGATAATGAAGGATGTTTCTGTAGTCATGAAGTGGATAAAGAATCATGTGACTCATATAAAGGTTTATTACAGAGCCCAGATCAGGTGGATGTGAACTTCATCATTGGCCTGTGGTGGCGCAAAGGTTTTCTACCTGCATTTAATTTAATAGGAACATAGAATGACATGATACAGAAGATACCTACCGTTCAGTCGGATTCGGTAAAAAATGTTTACCCACCAAACGTTATCAAAACACAACAGGAACCATCTCCTATCCTCTAAGATGGAGGATTGATGGGTTTGAGAAGCAGGTGTGAGGCAAAAGTCAAACTTGGATAAATCATTTTGTACTGTTCAATATTTTTTTACAATGAGAAATCCGAGTGCTGTATTTTAGCAAGATACTTTAAGATGTTATTACGAGACAAAGTGCCTACATATCTGCGTCATAAGGAAATGGATTAGTTTTCTTACTCAGTGTAATTTAATGCTTGTTTGATTGCAGTGATGTTTTTGTACCGCCAATCAATACATTTTAGGGACAGAAATGGCAAACTATGATCATAATAATTATTTAATTTGGTTCAACCCTTCAGGAGTGACAGTTTTGCGATTGTTAAATACATAGAAATGGAGCAGTGGGGCCATTTGACAGTATTGAGAAACAACAGTGCTCAGTGACACTTTGACATCCTGACTGTCTTTATTTTTATTATTCCTGCTGTTACAAATAGCATCCTGACTTTTAGTGAACACTTCCCTTTCCTGCTCGAGCTACAGAGCGTATTTAAAGCCAATTATGAATTCACCTGTCCAGGAACAATGCGTACACGCGAAGTTTACATAAAGTCAAACTACTTTTTAGCAATTAGAAATATGTTTGCCTTTATTATCAATGCAAGACACCAATTTAATTTATAATGTGGCCAAAGTGATTTTTAACCCCTTATTTGTCTTGCCTTGTTGTTGGTGTCAGACGCGTGGGCAGTGATCTAACTTAACTGGAGGAAACTCATCTGAACTGAAGTTGAGATGAGTTCAACTGGATCTTTTTAAACGCCCGTATGAATTTGTTTCAGGTTTTTGGTTTGAAGATACTGAATGAGTCTTAGTGTGGAGACTGAAGAGTGATTGAACTGTTGTCCATGTACAGGTCTGTTGTTCATAATGTACAATTTTGCTTTTATGAATATTGGTTATTGTACAAACTGTATAAACTATCTATTGAACAAGAAATGGTATGCCATTGGAAAAAAGTGTAGAAAATCTTTTCAGCCAAGAATAAATATTTGGAAATACATTGTTTCTCTATTTAATTCATCACACACATGCCCCCTTGTGGTAGGAATTATTCTGCCTCTATTTCTATATCTGTTGCATCAAAAATAAAAGAGTTTACTTTAGAAAGGTGTCTTTATTAAATAAATTCAGAGGTGGAAAAGATCATAGCTGGTACAGAATCTTCAAGGAAATGAGGCGAGAGCTGATCAGTCCAATCTTCTGATTCCTCAGTTTTCTAACAGGTAGCAGTGACTTCAGTCAAAGATGTGTTCTCTATCCTTAAATCACTTGATACAATAACATGATTAAAAGGGAAGCGTGTTATTTTATGCCAAGAAAAAAACATGTGTAGTGTCTTTGTTCATCTCATCGGTGGTTCCTCCCTCTGATATCTGTGGAATTGTAAGCCGTGTCCCAAATTCCAAAATAAATGTAAACAATAAAAAGATTTTCATAGTATCCTTTCCAGGCTTTTTTGCAGATATGATAAAAGAAAATACACCTACTGAACTGGTTATAGCTTCCCCCAGATTATAATAATACATTAGGTTATCTGGGGCTGTTTGACTAACATCTGCTATTAGTTTTAAAGTTATGAACAGTTCACCCTTTTCTTAAGTTCATTGCATTTTGGGAAGACAGGGTCCATCAACACTCAAAAATAAAAGTTTTTGTTCAATACATATACTTTAAATGAGGTTAAATGTAGTTACGTGTGCAGTCTAAACACCATACACACTGAAGCATCCTTAGAGTCAGTATGAAATATGGATTTGGGACACAGTTCCAGAATTGTGGCACAATGCCGCTGTTAAATCATTTGCTCCTGTGCAAAAGAAATTCTAAAATGATTGCTGTTATTTTTGAGAGATGAGAAAATTAAAAAGTAGAAATACAGTTACTTTTTCTTCCTCGGTGGAGTTCAGTTCATGTCCAATATGATTTTTTGATCACTTATATAAAAAGACACACAAGATAGTGTCGGTCGAAACTAATACTGGTACCGCCCTCTCTTTCCTTCTTGTCCACCATGTCCTCCTTGGTTCCTTCCACCTCCATCCTCTCCCCAACGGCCTCCATCACCACGGCCTCCCCAGCCACCACCGTGTCCACCATCTTCTCTTTTTTTCCAGGGTGGCATCTCAGGAGCCGGGGCTGACATCTCTGAGGGACGTCCTCCTCTGTCCGGGACCCTCCCCATTAGAATCTGCGGACAAGTGGACATAGAAATGGTTGGGAAACATCGAATGAATGGCATTTTGTTGACAGAAAGGAACCGTTCTTCTGTACCTTGTTGACAGCGCAGCTGGTCTTCTCCGTGCTGGAGCCGCTGCTGGTCTTCACCACGTTGCAGATATCCTCTCTGGCCGCCAGCAGCTGGGCCATGTCCACGGTGGACTGAGGCTTCAGAGAGTGTCTCCTGGGCTGGTAGGCCCTCGCCATGCTGTCCACCCTTACCTAACAACCACAGGCACACATGGGGTTAAATCAGCTGCCAAACACACATTACTTTGCCAATTTAAGCATATATTATGGGTCTCAGATATATCAAAATATATTAAAAACACGTCTATGTTTTTTGCTCAAAATACCAAACAGATCATGCATTTTAGACATCCCTCATATCCCATACAAAAAAGAGGAGGGGGAGCTTGTGCCTGCTCAGAATTCTACGAGATACAGCTAAATGCTGCTGTGATTAAACGGTGAGTTACTTTTTTTATTTCCTGCTTACACAGGCTCTCTCCGGTACAGGTTAGCTCTGAGTGTTAGCGATGCTTGCTAATGTAAACAAAGACCGTATTACTTCCAAAAGACGTCGCGCATGATTTCTGATAGGGCCACGGGCGTGAAGCCAGCCCACATTTCCGACATTACGTCATATCGGACGCAAATCTGGATCAGCTCCGTTGTACCCCCGTTTTTAGAAATTTGGGTACGGAGGAAAAGAGAGAGGGTTTTGTTTTCTGACACTTTGTGAGTTCCCCGACGCACCGGGGACACATGTTTATGTATAAAAGACATCAAAAAGTGCATTTCGCATGATAGGTCCCCTTTAAAGAATCACCATCTTCCCCATATGCTCATCAGTTTAGATTCCCACGTGATGGAGAAAGAGGATAAAGAACATTATGATGTGTAGGTTTTAGATAAACATGCCTTGGCTCTGTCCGACCACCCAAAGGACTGAACTGTGACGTCCAGCCGTTTGATCAGCATCCTGCGCCGACACTCGTATTCTGAAGACAGAGCTGCGTTAATGTTGTACAACTTCTCCTGCAGAGATAAAAAACAACAACATTATAAACCCACCTTTACATTGAACAATAAAACCCACCTAGCTACTAATATACAGATATATATTATTAATATATATTAACGTGGTCGATTTCATTATTAGATCTACTTACCCATTGTTCACTGTGTAGAGATGTCTTTAGTACTGGGTTTTCAATGGAGCCATCTGGAAGTTCTTTAAGTACTTTTTCAACCTATAATGACACACAGGGTCTGTCATACACACAAGTCTATTGTTCATTTAATTTACAATAGTGTTTAGATAAAGACAAGATCAATTTGAAGGGTAGATAGCATTGCAAACAGGACCTATGAGAAAATGGCAAGCAAAAAGCTAATTATTATAGCTAAGTACTTATGGATCAATTTAAAGCCTTAAACATTGTAAATAAACTTTTTTAAATCAATATGAAATGTGTTAGGAAGTCAATGCAAGTCTACAAGAAGAGGTTTGAATATACAAATAATATAATATACAACAATGTTCAAACCACTTTGTTAACATCATGCACTCGGCACACCATTTTTGCTAGCTTTGAGGACTAAGACTAACAGAGAAATGCTGGTGGCTTTGACATAAATGTACTTAAATGATATTAGATAGTCCCACCTTGTCTTGGACTTGAGACAGAACCACTGCTGCGTCCTGTCCTCTGGGCCCCGGCAGGTTCAGTGTCTCACAGATGACCAGGAGCTCCTCCCAAACAGGACCCTCTTCTTGTTTACGAGAGTCTGCTCTGCTCCTCACAATCTGAGCCGCCTGGAGCTCAGAGCTCAGGAACACTTCATAAGAAGACACACAAAGCATGTCAGTGACTCACTGAACATGCAGACAACTTGTAGAACAATGAATGGAATAAGCAGTAGGATTTGATTACATACAGAGACATTTGAGATGATCCTTTGTATTCTGCACACTGCCTTTGAGAATCCCTGAAACTAGATCTCCATAAGGACAGTGCAGCTCTTTGAGCAGACCACTCATCTCCAGCTGAAGGCTGTCCAAGTCTTCTAGAGGGAGGCAGACAGGAAACAGGTTGAGAGGAAAACAAGACTTCTGAGTATCACAATCAGGTGTGAATGGAGGTGAGCTAACCTGGACCGGAAATAATGCTCTCCTCCAGATCACACAGCGGCTTCAGGCTGGAGGCCAGCCACCGGCACAGCTCCACAAACTCCGGAGAGCACAGGCCTCCCTCTGCGGCTCCGAGCAACGCCTTCTCCTCCAGCAGAGGACCGGCGTAGCTACGGAGAGAGAGGAGAGTCAAATCACCACATATTAACTAGATCGTTTAACCCTCCTGTCCTGTTCGTTTCTCCCTCCTTGCTTTTGTGTTCTTGTCCGTTTGAACTGCTCTTACATTTACACAAAAAACGTCAGCACAGCATTTTAAGCTGAATTTTTTTTTTCTCAGACCACTGGTTTAAACAAATAACTGGGGTGAATATACAAAGAATAGACAGTCAAAATGTATTTCAAAGAGAACATTTTGCTGATTTGTGGGTGTTTGCTATCTGATGGATGAACATAAACTAGGGTTACCCCATTCATTTCCTTTTGCGGTCATTTTTGACAGTGTGGCAATCAGCAATTTTTTGTATTGTATATGTTCAAATGCCTAATGTGGAGGATATTATAAGGCCTTGACGCCAAGAAAAAATATAACACAATATTTATAATTGATTAAAGTAGTTAACATTTGACCAGAACACGACAGGAGGGTTAAACCAGGCTCTCTACAACTTGCTAAATAGCTTTCACAGCCACTCTGTCTTTTGTAAACACGCAGACTGATAACATAACGGTGTTGATGCTAAATGCTAACAGCACATTAGCTTACCCAAGCTCCTCCAAAGAGTCCAAAATGTCGCACTCCATCGTTAAATTCATAGGTGTTTTTGATATGTTTTATACTACTGAAAACATGACGACGTTACGGATATAACACTGTCAACATGTCCAGGATTTTGCACCCATTCATTTCTGCATCGCTCTCCTCTCATGCCTTTTTGCTGTTCCGGTTACTGACATGGTCCGGAGGGAAACCAGCGACTTTCAATCTATGGTTCTGCTGCAATGGTTCCGCCCTATACTAGCTGTGTACTCTCCACAATAAAGGATATGTTCATCAAAACGTGTAATAGAAGTGGCGTGGGAGTAACAATTAAATGTAATAGAAAATGATTCGAGTCGTCAAATATTTTTGGTAACACGCTTTAATAATGTTGAAGAATTATATACTGATTTATAGGTTGACACTTGTATTCTTAAAAATACAACTGCCTGAAATGTATTTTGTTGTTAAATTACAAAAAAACTGAAATCCTGAAAAGTTTAGATTTTGAAGATATTTACTTTATTTTTAATACTTTCTAATGTAAAACATTGATCTGCAAAGTAACAGAAACAGTAAATGTAGTGCAGTAAAATAACATAAAATGTAATGTTTGATGTAGTATCAAAAGCATAAAGTTCATAAAATGTAATTATATAATTAGGTACTTATACGTAAACATACTCCTAATTAGGTACTTGAGTAAACATACTTACTGCCTAATACCATTGTAGATCTTTGTTAAAAGTGTCATTCAAGGTTAATCAAAAACTTCATTTACCATTATGCGTCATAAAGTACTTAATAAAATGTTGTTATAAAACGCAACTATACCATGACACGCATTTATACGCCAATTTAAATGACATTGTCTATAAACATAAACACAGGCATACCACCTTGTCACTTCCTTGAAGCCTTTGGAGTAGCAAATAGTTATTTATCTTTTGGAGTAGCAAAGAGTCTATTTATTCAATTAATTATTATAAATTAGAGAAAAATGGAAATCAACTTTGTATAAAGAACAAAGGTGGCGTCTCGTATTGTCTGAGTAACAATCCAACAGTCTAGGTTCCATGACATGCTTTTCTGGTTAATACCCGTCCCCTTACCAATCCGCGGAGCTCCTCACACCAACACACTCTCTCACACACACACACACACACACACACACACACACACACACACACACACACACACACACACACACACACACACACACACACACAGCCTTATCAATCAATCAATGTTTATTTATATAGCCCAATATCACAAATGTAACATTTGTCTCAGTGGACTTCACAGTTCCACCCAATGTTATCATATATAGCACACATATCACACATACTAACATTGTCAGCACTTCACAGTGTGTACACAATATCACATATCAATACCGACACACTCTGTCCTAGACACTCACATCACAAGAACACACCTCCTCGAAGCCCCCACAGTTAAAGGGAATGGTAGGAAACCTCCAGAGAGCAACACAAAGTAGGCAACACGCACCCAGAACGCACGCACGGCTACATCATATGCGTGGAATTGAAAGATAATTACATTGACATAGGTAGTCCGTATTTGGAAATACATGTGTGTCTAATAAGAAGATGAATCCAGGAGTATATCCATCAAGCACGTAGATGATTCCAGACCCACAGCAACAGGCGACAGCACGACTCAGCAGATACAGAGTGCGATCGCAGAGCTCAGACCACAGCAACAGGATGTATCATGACTGCAGAGCCGGGCGGTATGGATAGACTCCAAAAGACACATTTGAGGACAGAGCTGAATACACATACATGAGAGATGCTATACTGAGAAACCAAATGTAAGATGTCCTTGGAACATATATCGAACAATAGGGGCTGAAATACTCTATCAGACCTCAATGGAAGATGATCAGTCCAAAAAAGGACAGGTCATAGGACCATTCTAGTAAAACAGAGTAACTTGGAACCAAATAAATGTATCCATTTGCTTGGTCAACTGACCTACACACACATTGTTTGTCCGGAATGTTGAAGCTGCATCTTCTATGAATAGAGAAAAAGGGTTTCAGCCGACTTCTGAGGTGGTATAGCTGTCCGATATTTTACAGACATTAAGGCCGATGAGGCATGTTCATAATGCAAAGTAACAAGCAGCGCATCGGAGACTTTCAGTCTTGATACGTTGGATCTGTTTTTCAAAAGAAGAAGAAGGTATTTAAATATCTGACCACAGTAAACTTGATCATGTGCCCTTGGTGTACTTCACAAAACCAACTCATGTAGTTTCTTATAACATGGATGACTGATACAAAAAAAGGCAATGAAGCTTACACAGCAAAAGATTAAAACTTCACCAGTTATATATGATATGTTATTTGATAGGTCAAATTACAAGTGTATGATGTAACATAAAAACAGTTAAAACATTATGTATCATATTACTATATAATTTATGAAAGTAACCGAGCTACATCTTGTATAAAGAAAAATACAACCATGACTATGAGTTATTGGGGACTATAAATCGATATACTTGGTATTCTCGAACCATGAGAAGAAATACCTAGACGTGTAGAAACCAATAGAACCAGAACGAGAGATGTTAAATTATAAAATGGAAACTAGGATGGACGTGAGGCACTTTTTTGAGGTTGTCAGGATGTGAAAGCCGATGGCATTAAGAAACAAATAGATGCACAGGAAAGAAATATGCACAAAGAGAGTGAAAGAAAGAAAAAAAGAAAGAAAACAGGCAGTGTTTACAGAATAGTTAAGAGTAGTACCATTTATACTGCAAGTTTCAAAACACAAATGTCTTCCACTATTTAGAACTAATCACATAAATGTTACATCAAGCGCTGTAAGATGAAAAAAAGCTTACATATAGTATCATCAGTGCACCAAAGCATCGGAGAATTGAAACATAACCACTCAACTGCTGTGAAAAGTAACCTTTTTAAAACAATACACTGAAGAGAAACAGGTTTATATAGCTTTTTCTTTTTTTAAATCTACACAATGTCAAGAATGTACACTTGTATGCATTCCCAAAGATATGCACAATTTCCAAGATTGAAAGAGGATAAAAGACTAGCAGCAAAGTGGTTAAAACTGAAGTCTTATATAATGCAGGTCAAAAAATATATATATTAAAGCAGACAGACACATGTTGCATATATAATACAGTACATGACAGGAAGTTGCACTGTGCTGGTTAATGCAGAATGAGAAGTGTTATTTCAGCATTCTCTACACTTTGTATAAATGCACGTCCTACATTTTTGCTTCTCAGCCAGCAAGTTTTAATCAGGTTCATCCAACCTTGGTTCAGCTTGCAATAATGCAGGGCAATCCAATTACAATGGGAGAATATGACAACCATCCAAACATCTGGTCACACACCAACCCCGCACGCACACAGCCAGCACACTGGAAACACACACACGCAGTACACACACACACTCGTGGGCACACAAGAACGCACATTTATAGTAACACTCGCGCACCCACACACAAGTGTCCACTCACACAGAGCAATCAAACATTTAAAAACTCACTGTCATGGTTATATGCTGTTGGAGAATTAGGGTTTAACAGTCGTTCATAGCTGATTTTCTCTGTCAACACAATAAAATTAGTGATTGTATCTAGCAGCTTTATATGTATGTATATATATATATTTATATATCAAATATGCCACTACTGTACCGTGTTAGCACTATCCTTCCTTCTACCGTACAAAACTATAGAGAAACTCTATTAGAAGCTCAATAGTCATTTCCATCACAAACGCCCTCTACTTTTCAATGTGAAATAATACTAAAAGGTGACCTATGTACATAATGCTGTCAATTGAAGCTACGGTATATGCTGACAGCAACGATAAATACAGCTCTATCTTTAAAATGTAAAAGACAAAAAAGCTGGGATTATTATCAGAACTTAAATATAGTGTTAAGTATTTACAGGTTGTTTGGAGTTTGGTACCAGGGGTCGGTCGTCTATATCGCGTTAAAGTGTCCTATCCCGTCACTGACTCAGTCTGCAGAGAGGTCAATGTGTTTCCCACGTTAGAAAGTTTGCATAGAAAGTAAAGGGAGCATCGGTCGGGGGGGAATTAGGAAAATATATGTTTCTCCTGTAATCTGAAGTGCCATTACTACTATTATTTTAGCCAGGAGGGAGAGGAGATGCATATCTGTTAGCAACATGGATGTCATGCCAAATCTGCTGTTAAATACTGCGGGGAATCACAATTAGCATTAATTTCAAACATGCCAATGCCTTAGTTAGGAATAATTTCTTCAGTTAGCAAGACTTATTGCAGCTGGACATCCAGGCTGAACTGTTATAACTGTCGGGAGTTTGTCGTTGTTCAGGACTAGTTCGAGTCAACATTTAGTTAGTTGAGGAAGCCAGTTCAATTGAAATATGTTCTTCTCTTTTGGGCGGGAAATAGGATTCAAACACACACACACTAGACTTCCTGTTTCCCAAAGGATCTTAAAGATGTAGTTTGACATTTTGGGAATTGTGCTTTCTTGTTTAGTCAGTGAGAAGATTGATACCATTTTCATATGTAGTCTTTAAATACGAAGCTGCTTCGCTTATTAGCATAGGGAAGCTAACAGGTAACTGTGACAAAATCGTCCTACTGCCACAGCTAAAGCTCACTAAATAATAGATTATATATATTTTTATTTGAAAAATGGCCAATTGAGGTTTTACGAGTTATTTGTTGTCCAGGCACAGTACCCTCATGGTGACAACACGAATCAGTCACTGTGCCTGTTCAAGAAATAGTCCCACACATGACCTGTAGTAAAACCCCAAATTGTCATCTTTACACTTTCGCTTTTATACTAATCAAACAAATGATATAACCTGTTAATCGGTTAACTTTAAGGTGCTATAAAGCAGAGTTTAATACATTGTAATGGAGCCAAGCTATCCGTTTCCCCATTGTACGCTAGGCTAAGCGGCTGCTAGCTCCAATTTAACAAAAGTTACAATAGCGAGTAGTTTTGATCGTCTCACTAACCACAGTAAAGAAAGCAGATAAGTGAAATTCCCAGGATGTTAAACTTCTCCTTTAACAGTTCCATCGTCTCTTTGTTAAATAGACGCTTCAGGAAACAGGACGCGGTTACAAGTCAAAGCCTTAATCACAAAGTCAGAGGTGACATGACACCAGATCAACAATGCATATGTAGACCTATGCACACACACGCACACACACGCACACACATACATACATAACACTTGTATGTTTAATAGCTAAGATACTCAGCATTCCTGAAGCAATGCATTCATTCATTCATCCAGGGTCTGTTAAATGAAGACATACGGAAGGAGTGAACTTTTGAGGAACAAAGAAGTACTACATTTACACAGGATGTGCGGGGAAATTAAAAGAAAACAAAAAAACGGATTCATGGGACAAACATGGACATTTGGAGAGGGTGCTGCAACCAAAGCTTGGAGAGCAGTGCTTTCAGGAGGAGTATTCCCAATGGCAAATTAAATAAAGTTATATTAGTCAAATATATGTACAGACTAATTATAAAATCTAAAGGATTTCCAATAAAAGAATAACCTAATTTAAGTGCCTCATCATTAAACCAAGGAGCACTGTAACCCATTTACTCACCGAAACAAAACTTGCTGGTTGAGCAACATTTCAGCCTTTGTTTAAAAAATAATTATAAAATGAGCAGGAAAATAACAAGTAAGAAATAAAAACACCAATTTCACAACAGCAGTAAATAACTGGACTAAAACTGGAATTCATTGGAGTAAATCAAATCGTGGCTTCAAAATTTAAACGGTTCAAGATGTTTTAATGCTATTTAAATGATGTGGAAAAAACTATTTCGGGGAACTCTGCATGGTAAAGTCATTACCATTTTATCCCTTCTAATCATGGAATCGATCCCTTTTTTTTGGAATGCAATCAAATAGTCTAAATCACGTAGGGAAGGCAAGGTGATCATTTTAACATCTTATAGTTAAATGTCAAAAGCAATACCAAGCTGCACCTTCAGAAACAAGCTGTCACCTTCTGAATTTGTTCAACATTCGATGGAAAGGAAAACAAGGAATTGGCCATACATCCACCACGGAAACATCTCTTAAATGTTAAAATTACACTACAAAAGGTGGTTAATGTACCACAAGAATTTGAGGGGGTTACCTTTACTCAGGGGGGGGGAAACCATTTCTAGTGCACTTTTCTCTGTCTAGTAATTACATTGTCAGCAAATGCTTAAGCCATGAAGGAAAGGCCACTGTTACCCAACTGTAAATTCACAAAAAAGCAAGAACATATCCCTTTTAGCATACTCAAACAGCAAGTATTTTTTCTGAAACGCAGAATAGTTTTGTTTTCTTTTTTCGTCGTTAAGTTGTTTGCTCTCTGTACAAAAGACAATTTTTCCTTCATAAAGTTACACATTTCTTGCAGTAGAGTCCTGACATTTGTGGCTTGGCTTTGTCAATGCATGAGTGTGAATGTGAGAGATAGGTGTGTGTGTGTGTGTGTGTGTGTGTGTGTGTGTGTGTGTGTGTGTTTGTGTGTGTGTGTGTGTGTGTACAGGTGTGTACAGGTGTGTTTAGTAACATCTCCAAGTCTATTAATCTTGACGTTGCCTGCTGCTCCTCTCCTCAGTTTAAGCTCCTGAACATAGCTTGATGCTCAGAGCCCCCACAAAGCATTTGGTTTGTCCTCCACCGCTGCTTGTCGGCGACAAACACAAACAGAAATCTCCAAAAGCCCTCAGAGCTGGGGATCAACAACATCACCCCGTCTGAGAGGGGAATGAAAAAAGGATGCCGGCTTTTTTATTTTTCCGCATTTATCCACTTCCTGTGTTAGCTAGCTTTGAGGGTGTCCCAGAGTTCGTTGTGGGGTCACCCCGCCGCCTTGTGCTTGCCCCCGCAGCAGCGGCAGGCCTCCCCACAGTGGTGGCAGGCGCGCAGGGGCAGGTAGCAACACATGCAGGGCGCGATGAAGGACAGCGCCACCAGGGCCAGCCAGCGCAGGCAGAACTGCTCGTCGGACGTGTCACATGAGCAGGGGTCTGAGAAGTCCCCCTCGGAGTCGGACATGCAGTGGTACAGCATGCTCTCGGCGCAGAGCATGCAGCTGACTTTGTAGATGCACTGCTTGATGGGGTCGGGGGCGTCCTGGCACTGCCCCCGCCAGTTGTCTTCGTGGTTGAACATTTCCCGACAGTAGATGCAGCGCGAACGCTCGCCGTCCTCTCGCCGCCGCCGGCCCTTCTTAGACTTGAGCAGGGGCGAGGGCTGGGTCTTGATGGCTGTGTCCTTGCCAAGACCCAGACCCATACCTGTTCCAATGCCCATGCCGGGGCCAGAGTGGGGGTCCCCACACGGCCCATCGGGGAAGAGATACTCGCACTTCTTACTGTCTAGTTTGTGGAAGGCGGTGGGGAAGTCCATGTCCTCGCGGTCGGAATCCTGTTTCCACATGACAGGGTGGCGGTAGTCCTCATAGCCGCGGATGAGCACGTCTTTGCGTGGGTTGATGCGAACAATCTCCTCTTCGTCCATGTGAAAACTGACATGACGAGTTGACTTGAAGGAGACCTTGATGAGAGGAGAAAATGGGGAATTAGTGGGATAATAAAACAAGAATGGGAAGTGAATATGAGAAATACTTCATTCATAGAATCTCACAAGCTTTAATCTTCCTCTTAAAGATCCAAAATGTTGCAATTTTATGTAATTTTTACAAACTTTTGCAGATGGGTGAGTTTGTGCTGGGCAGAAGCAGACCTGGGGAGGCAGGTAGCGGCGGTTGCTGGAGTTGAACTCGTCGAAGGGTTGGGCGCGGACGTAGCAGCCCCTGAAGGGCTCGGTGGAGACGACGTTGTTCAGGGGAGAGAAAGGCTCTTTCATTGGGGTACATAAGGAGGGAGGCTCATCACACGCCTGCAGAAATATCAGAAACAAATCATATTAGTCGGAGAAAATCCTATTGAAAAATACCTGAAACATCTCATGTTTCCGCTTATAAGGATGCATGAAGAAAAAGAGACAGAAAGCTGAACATAAATTGAATACTTAGCTCATAATAAATGTTAGTTCAAACCCCTTAAAATGCATTATTCTCACATTCTGTGTTGCCATTTAATTGCCTATAGAGCACAAATGGATTTCTGGACCACAGCTGTTTTGACTCGGGGTGTGTAGGCTGTGTGTTCCACTTGTAACCACCAGAGGGCCTCCTGCGCCCACGCTTGGCCAAATGAGTGTGCTGTGATGACTCAAGGCCCTTCTGTTAAGAACTCCGAGTTCCCATCAGCCTTGCATGTGTTCCCACAAACATTTTAACGGATGCAAAATCTACAAACACTGGCCTAAAAAAAGAGGCGCTTGAATTATGCGATGAAAAAGAGAAATGTTGGAAGCCATGTGAGGCTGAGCGAATATGTCTTACACCTCACGCCAAACTATCTCACAATTACACGAGAGAAGCTCAATGTTGACATCAATCGGAAAGAGAAGTCTATAAATAACATCTCGTGAATGCCACAGTTGACATTAGAAATGTGAACACAGCAAAAGAATAAACATATTTCTAGTAATACATAGTTATAGATCCAATAGAAGTGGTCCAACACTTCCGTACTCATGGCAACAACATCAAAAGTGATGGCTATTCATGATTCATGCGTGCAGAGGTGATGAGAGATGGGGGAGGATTGTCAGTTATTACATGAAGAGCTGTGTGATGATATTTCATGTCCAGCATTATTTCAGGACAACCATCTGTATAACTCCCAGTTACATTATGCAGATCACTTGGAGATAAACTGAATTACAATCACAATCAGAATCACAAGTTGTTCCTTATTTCTCAGCACAGTCTTTCATAGATAGAAACTGTCTGAAAACAGTCCAAATAAACTGCGAAATAAAGAGTATTCAAGGGTCTATATCTCTTCGCACATGGACACACGTTGAGGTATGTCTCCACAAGTACCAGTTCGATCCAACCATATTCAAGCCTTGTACACACTGGCTAGCTGTCCCTCTTTTCCCACACACACCCCGACCTCCAAGGCAGGGTTAGTCCTCCTCTCTTCTCCTTCTCCCTCCCTCTCTCTCCCTCTCTCTCCCTCTCTCTGCTCTGCGTGTGGAGGAGGCGGCTGGCTCTGGTTAGTCAGTGCCGTGTGTAAAGTAGCCCACGCCAGTGCTTTAACGCACAGCGGAAATCTGGTTTGCTCCCAGCTGCTGCTACAGTAATTACTGTCCTGTGGTTGCTAAGAGATGCTTCCTTTGACTTCTTTTTTTCCCCTCTCTTTCTCTTCTTTTTCCCCCCTCCCTCTCCTCTGCTTGCACTGCCCCCCCCCTAGACTGCTAACACATGGTGTGTGTATGTGTGTGACTTTGCTCCCTCTTTGCCTCCAAACATACCAAGTGGTGTAACGCACATCCACAGCGTCTGCAGGGGAATGTGAGGAATAGGAGACAGTGGAGGGAGAGAAGAGAAAGAACAGAACAGGAAAAAATGACTTTGTGTTGTATGTGTGTGTGTGTGTGTGTGTGTGTGTGTGTGTGTGTGAGAGAGAGAGAGAGAGAGAGAGAGAGAGGGAGAAAGAGAGCGAGAGGCCAAAGAGTCTGCCGAGGGAATGTCATAAACCAGCTCCAGCTGGAGAAATGCAGCACAGAACTTAAAAAGCCAGATGACAGCTGTGTGTGTATGTGGGAGAAAGAAAGAAGGGAGCGAGGGGTGGGGGGGTGAAATGGGAAACAGACTTGGGCTTCCTTTTAAAGCGCTTGCCTAAGCCCCACCATTCAAAGGCATGCGTGGGGGCCAATCTGGAGCTGAGCTGACCCTAGAGATGTGGCTGGGTGAGGGAGGAGAGGAGGGGAGGGGAGAGGAGGGGATGGAGGTGCTGGGAGCCCGGGGGCAACCTGGCTCCACACCAACATCAGGGGTCCGTGCACTTCCGCCCTCAAAGGCAGAGGGGCTGGGAGAGGGTGGGCTGGGGTCCATGTACTGAAAACGACAGAACATGCTAGATCTCTGAATCACACGGAGGAAAGAGGATGTGCGTGCTCTGGTGGTTGATCACAAACACTTAATGGTGTACTTCTTTAAATATGTGTTTATCACACTCTAAAAATAGGGATCGGCCATCATCTGCGTCTTGTTACCTTAAAAACAAAGAAGTATAGCACAGCTCGAGGATACACACCCATCAACTTTGTTGCAGAGTTTGATAACAAGACTTTGTAGGTTTGATGTGAAGCTTCAGCCAGCAGCTGGTTAGCTTAGCATAACAATTGGATCCTAATGTAACAAAACCTGCTTAGCAGCATCTTTAAAACTCACATATCAACATGTTACATCTTGTTTATTTAATTATTTTAAAGTGTTGGTTGTGGTTTCTTTGCCCCAACCCTAAAACCACTGCATGTCATTTTAATGCTTTAGGTTTTGTACCAATTAAAATAAAGTGATATACCATTGTTAATTAGCTATTTTCTGAAGGGGATGGAAGGGCATCACATATTGTTACAATGTGGAAAGTTCCGGTCTTTATGCTAAGCTAACGTATCTAACTTAAATGAAGTACAAAGAAAAGTGTATTAACACATTTCCAAAGATGTCAAACTATTCCTTTAAACATATCTATTTCCTGGCTACGGGTGCTTTACAGAGCTCTATTTTAAACGTTTCTGTTCTGTGAGTGAGGCTGTAAAAGTCAACTGGCCAACAAAACCTCTGTGTACTAAACTGATAAGAGAAAACTTCCTGCCAGCGCTAAATTAGATGCGGATGTTTTCCTGTGGCATTCGAAAAGAAATACAATTTTTTCTTTGTACTAGCGGAAGGACTGTGGTGGTACGGAATAATTCCTGGCAGTGGGTCATCACAGCTGAGTAGGGTGTTGTGCAACTAGGTTTGTTTTAATGGGTAAAATATGTTGCATGTGCATATAGTGCCTGTGTTGTGTGTTTCTGAGTGAGAGGAAGAATGTGGTAAGCTTGTGAAGGGCATACAAGTGGGTGCAGAGCCTCGGTGGGCAGGATGTGGGCGGAGGACGACCATCTTCAACGCATGTCCATTAACACACTCACACACGCACAATTCACACACATGTACAAACAAGCCTGCTCTCACACACACAAGTCAAACGCTTCTAGCAATGCAAGGCTATGATGGATTCCAGAAAATTCTAAGGACAAGCGTTTTTTTTTTTAGAGATGTCTGAATCTAATCAAGGGAATAAACAAGGCTTGATGGTGACCTCCGATGCTGATGAAACGCTGTCCGTTCTCAACAAGGTCAAGACAGGAATGATCTAAAGGGGGCGGCCAATAACACAAACTAAAGTCTAGAACAAAGAATTTTCTATTACATTTTTCTCTACCATTCACCAAAATCCTCTCCAACCCAGTATGCTGTTGTTTATCAGGCGATCTTTGTGAACAGTGGTATAACTTTATGATGGAGCGTAGAGCAGCACACCTTGTTGAGTGCTGGTATGTGCTAGCTCTCTGGCTGCAGCCACTGGTTCACTTCTCTTTCTCTGTAGCCCAGGTCTCCGACCGCAACATTCGGATGCCAAATCACCATGGTGACACCCTCGGTGGCTCACTCACTGAACCTTGTGAACACCCCCTTCTATCCCCCCTCCCGCTGAACCCCCCCCCGCCCCTGCTGCCTAGCAACAGTGGTGCCATTGGATTTCCTGTATGTTCAGGCGGATTCCTTAAAGAGGAACTTCGCCACAGGAACAGGAACGCAGCTCTCCCTCCTTCTCCTACATCGTACAGGATGTGAGATACTAGGCAGGTCAAAGGTGATGACATCCTCTGACTAATGCTCAAAACTACATTATGGGGGGTGCAGTTTGATGTCAAAGTTCTGGTTCAAGCTTGTTGAACTTGAGGGGCATTTTACATCAATCAGCAAAACATTGAATTGTAATGCAATGCCACACAACTGCAATAAATACTGTTAATAATAAAGTTATCTGTGTGTCGACTCATTCTTTATCAAGTTTTTAAGATAATTAATGACCTTTGTTGAATGAAAATCTCTTACAAACAGTGTCAGCAGTAATTCATTGTTAGTTTCAAGTATTGCAGGAATATTGTGTGTTTATTGTCACTCAGTTTACGTGTGCATGACAAGATCTGCCATTCCTTCCATGATGGATGGTGTCTTTTCACCTACTTTACAATCAGAAGCAGAACAGGTGACTGACGTTCCCTAACAGATCCGATATCTAAACCAAATGGGTGGAGTAGACTTGAACTATATACCTACTAAAGGGAACACAGCTATCTCAACCACACATGTCGACACACATGCCAGGAAATATAAACAACTCTTAACATAATGCTCTCAAAAGTCCTGTCAACAAAAGAAATAGATTCGGTTTGGAGAACAGGGAAATCACAGAGCAGCCTTGCCAAGCTGCTTTAGAACAAACAGCTCCTGAGGCAATAGTTATTATTTCGGCATCAATTCTAACAAGAGTGACAGCAACCAAGTTAGATTGATAGAGACAACTAAGCCTGTCCTAGCACATTTGCTGGCCAACACCCAGCACCACCTCAAGGTCTGCTTGGCACTGCTTAAACACCTGTAAATCTCCAAGAACAACTGGTAGAAAACAAAGGCAGGTGTCAGCGCCTGGGTGGGACGCATAAGGGCTCAAACATATGGCTTGGCTCAAGTTCGAGCTATGACCTGCCTTCGTTTTTAATAGTGAGGGAGCGTTGAGTAATAAATCCAACTTTAAAAACCTTCAGTAGGTGCACTTTAACATCCTATGATCCATTTACCATTCCACAACAAAAGGATACTTTATAGAGTTAAATGTCTCTTTTTTTTGTGAATGGGTTTTACAGTGGAAAAAAAAAAAAACATGAACATTTTTGCTTAAAACAACCACAGAGAGATTTCAAGATCAAATATATTCTTTATAGTCAATCTTTTAGCCTCTCAGCTTTATATCACACTTACCGGCAGTCCATCCTCAGGAATATCCCCTTCCCCAAACGGCCGAAATCCTGAAGGAAAAACACAAAGTGGAAAAAGATGAGTGGGCTGTCATCATTTGATATGCTTAAAAAACAACAACAGAGGAACTGTTACGGTCATATAAGCAACAAAATGCTAACAAAAGGAAAGTACTAACAGCTCAACATTTAAATTAGCATGTACCTTGATTAAAACATCCTCACACAGTCAGCCGCCAATGTTATTAATGACGTGTAGAATTAGGAATTTTGGACAAGTCTGTAAGTACACATAGCACCAACCTTTTAGCATCTCAGATGGCTACATTTTTGATAAATTCAAGGAAAGACTTGTTTTTGGAACTCAACCAGTAGGGGGCAAAAACACAAGGAACAGTATGGTGTAGCAGTCATGTCTACTTGTACCATTTTCCAAGCTTGTCAAATCCATTCCACTCTCAATGGACGCAGACGCCTCAACAAAGCATATTTGAGTGAACAGATTTACATTGCTAATTCTTGTCAGGCCAGAAAATGACAAGACTTCTGCTTTCCTCTGACTGTGGCCTCATGGGGAAATGAAAGCTGCTTTGTGTCAGTGGGGCACACAGAAGTTAATGAAATATGCATGTCTAGAATAATGTAACCCCGACCTCGGCTTCAAACCCCCATGTGCCATTTCCGCATCCAAAACACCTCTTCCACCAATGCTGGAGTCAGAGCTTATGTTTCAGGTATCAGGCCGACCATGTTACAGATTTTCGTTGCCACAGAGAATGAAACTGTGGAGGGTTCAACCGAAGGAAAGACACTAATGCTGCTGATATTTTTAAAAGAATCGGTTGTTTTTTTAAACACTTTTCTACATGTTCAAATTGAGAGGCCCAATAACATAAATAAAAACTTTTAGCCACACACGGCTTCTAACCATTTTCGATATTTGAGTTTCAAATGAACTTAACTGCTATACAAATTTAACAGAATATTCTGATATAAATATATAATTCCTGCAAAACTACAAGTGCAAATGATGTAAGTTGAGGTCAGTATGATTCAGTGAATGAAGTACTATTTACTGTAATTATCACTTTACAGGTACTGATATTCAAATGGTTGAGGCTATGGCCTTGGCAATGTCCACTGAGACAAATGTAACATTTGTGATATTGGGCTATATAAATAAACATTGATTGAATGTTGCAAAAAAGAGGGATTAAACATTTTCCACTGGGATGAAGGAAAAAGCGTACCTGGGGCTCTAAGAGGTTCTGTTTAGAACTTCGGTTCACTTAATTAGGATCACTGCGGCCTCCTTTGAAAGACCGAGCATTGGCCTGTCTGCTGCATTCAGGCAGGAGAGGAATACAGCGAGACAGAGGACAGAATAATTCACTGGGCTGGTGTCAGACCCATGTCCATCAGTCTGTATGTCTGTCTGTGTGTCTCTGATTCACATGAGAAAGGTGTTGGTGTGTCTGTAATGCATTTCTGCACTACAGAGAGAAAGAGGCTTCCTGCAGCACGACTCTGGCAGTGCTGGGCCGCGAAGCTGCCTGAGCCATGTGCCCAGCGTTGCCATGGCAACAGAGGACTGCAAGACTGATACACACACACAGGCAAAACATATTCTCTCTCTGTCTCTCTTACACCACCCGACACACACACACACACACACACACACACACACACACACACACACACACACACACACACACACACACACACACACACACACACACACACACAGCAGTCCAGCAGCAACGCGATGCAACAGGAATACAGAAGAACCTGCCTGAGCTGAAGAGAGGCATTACACAACACTGTTAGAATACAGAAGATGCCAGAAGAGAAAGGAGAGCGGAGGGAGGAGAGTACAGCAGAGAAGAGGGAGAGAGAGAGAGAGAGAGAGTCCAGGCACCGGGGAGACAAAACTCAGCATCACCTGCCGAAGCTGACATTCACAGGGAAGAGTTGAAGCATCTACAAGCAGACAGACACAGACTCTTGGTGAGGTGAGGGATGTGTTTGATCACGCTGACACTTTTCGACCCAAAGTGTTGTGTAATGGAAGTACTAATTGTGGGACCTTTGATTTTAAACATAATTTATTGACCAGCAAACATTGTTTCTTGTAAATCTACCGATATATCAAATTAAGTAAAACAGTAAACTAGCTCTCACACCAACCAAGCAGCCCTGACCTTCGATATGACATTGTCATCTTCTCATTAATGTAGTGCTTTGGATTGATCATTGCCTTTTGCAAAGCCAGCCTCTCAGCTGTTCCCCATGCTTACCTGTTACCTAGACTGTGTGTGGACTTGTGCCCAGGAAGTACACATCTCAGATAAACGCTTGTGGGCAAGAGGCGACTGATGCCTGGTGCTGATAAGCTTTTACGATATGTTTTGCTGTACCTCCTCTACGCTACCCAGGGTTCCCAGGTCTACAGGGTAAAGGAGATTATAGCTCTCCAGTCAGCCAGCCTCTTATGTAACACGGGGCTGGGTGGCAGATTGCTGAGCTGGCGATTCTCTTGCTAATTGGATGACTTTGTAACCTCTGGCACTGTACTAAAAAATATTGCTTATCAGGACCCAAAGTTGCTAAGTAAACTCAGAGACCAAGTGTTATATCTAGTTTAGCTCAAAAATAAAAAGTAGAAAATTATGGAAAGTAGAGCAAAACCTTATCTTTTTTTAATCAAACATTAGCTCAAACAGAACACAAGCCTAAACCTGGTCAAGTTTCTTCTGACAGTTTCTACTCCCCCGCCCCCCTCCCTCCCTCTTTCTTACCAACTCTCCCCCTTGTCCCATATCACCCACTGTGTTGCCCTGCCAGTCTATACAGGAAGTGGGAACTTTATCTGGGCAGCTGGCACTGATAAGATACCGCAGGAGGGGTCATGCTTGGGTGAATGAGCAGGTATCAGTGGGGGAAGTCATCAACGCTAATCAACGCTATGCATCTCTCGTGGAACAGATGCTAGGTCAGCCATTACAAGCCAATGACAAAGAGGCAGAAAAACCGGCTGCAGACACCCGCTTACAGATGCATGCCATGTTCATACACATACACCCGTATCACTTTACACGCATTGGATGGCTGCCAACACACATAGAATAGTGCAGCCTCTGAGAGGGAATTCCAAACAAATCTGATGTTTGGTTTTTGAAATCCGAAAACACACGCATGGACCATTGACAATCTGCTAACACACAACAACACACACACACCTTGGTTGATGTCCTCAATGGCCCGACGTATGCCCCGGTCAAAAGCACGAGCGTCAGCAGGGCTCTGGAAAGTCAGTCCAAACTTCTTGTTGTTGATCCTCCAGTGGTGGAAGATGGGGTTGACCTTGTTGTATATTACGTCTTTCTGCAGGACACACTCCAGCACCACCTGATAAAACACACAGTGTCAGATTGAAACAAGGCTTATTAGTAATATTTTTTTTGACTTAGAATGCAGTTGCATCATTTAAAAGGTTTAATGATGAAACTCAATGGGGAACACACATGTAAATCCTTCATCATACTCCCCAACCTAAGTTGTTTAAATGTGTCTCATTCAATTACTCCACATTGACACGAGTAAGAGAAGAGAGAGAAAGAGATTGAGGCTTGCATCTAGAACTGCACATAACTCAAGGGTGTCTAAAAATAGAGAAGAAAAATTATTCTAAACCCAATCATTTCACATACTCCTTTGGACAATTTGTAAAACACATTCTAAATGGTGGGGTTCTCATTACAGATGAAGATACAAAGTTGGAAAGCAGTGGTGGTGGCTGAATAAGGGGAGGGGGGGGGGAGAATGTTTTGGAGCCAGGCAGCCCAAGTGTGTGGCGTGGAGAGACTGTGTTTCCAAAGCCTATTATTAATCAGAGCTACTGGGCCGCCTCCCGGCCTTCCTCTAGGCAGATTGAATGAAATGAGAGACGGCCATTACAGTCTTTGAGGTTTTTTACAGACATGCACGAGAGGTGGCTTTGTAAGGTGTGAATGTGTGAGCGTGCGCATGGTAATTTGCGTGAGAGAATGCGTGAGCACAGGAGCTGGTGTGATGAAAAGCTCAATGACCCGAGCGCTACACTTTGCATCTTCGCAGTGCAAATGCCTCGTCAGAGGATACCGGTCAAAAACCAATGCTGGTGTAGTGAAAGCAGATGGCAACGTTCCTCGTTGTTTCGGACAACAGTCAACGCGCACACTTTAAGAGGTTGATACGTGGCAGCTGTACGAGAGGTTGGTGATATGCGATACGCGTGTCATAGAGGGTGTACACAGGTCTACATTTCATTCTGAACGTCCAAGTGCGAGATGCTTTTTACACTTTGGTATACTCTCACAATATCCTTCCTCATGTCACTGTTGCATACATGCCTCCCCAAGAAAAGCAGGGCCAAAAGGTTAAGCCTGTGTGTTTACCCAAAGCCAGTGGATGAGGGGAGTAAAGAAGAGAGGGATGGATGTGAGGAGGATCGGGTGGGGTGGGGTGGGGGGGGGCCCTCTGGGGCTGATTGTGAAGGCGAGACTGAATGGAGCCGGAGCAGGTAAGGTGAGCGCACAGCGAGGCCAGCAGAGGAGGAAGTATCACAGTTGCATGGAAGGACGATACTTAACACCGCATTCCACACTGTGCTCAGAGAAAAGAGAGGAGGAGGAGCCAGATACGGAGCAGAGGCTGGAGATGTTAGAGGAGGAGAGGGACGGAGACAGAGACAGGCGGAGGTGAGACGTGCCGAGAGTAGTGAAGAGATAGCGTGAGAGCGGAAATGGGGGAAGAGAGCGCGACTACGTTTACATGCATAGAAGAAAGAAATCAGGCTAGAATCTCTGCCATCTTGTAATTATAAGATGTCTCGAAAACAACGCTCAAAATGAAAGGATATTTTAATATGAACTATCTTAGAATAAACAAATGTCTTTTGAGCATTTACAAGGCAGAAATATAGATATAAAACATGAAAAATGGCTTGTAATAATATTTAAGCACTGCGTTTTCAAGGTTTAGCAAGAGGCATTGGTTGAAATAGATACATGTTTTTCCATACACCCAAGACTTCAAGATAATAAAGCATATTTTGCTAGCAAAGATAAGTTAAAACAATCAAATGACAAGGTTTAACCGTAGAAATAAACATCTGTATCAGGTGTGCCCCTGCCTCTGGGAAAGGCCTTTTAGAGTAGACCCGGACTACACCACATTCACAGCTTTATCAATCAAAGGGACGCACAGACGATCGACGTCAGAAAACGAGGTGAAAGCTCAGCCAGCGATTTGTCATAATCCGAGAGCCAGTGTGGTAAGTAATCATCAACCAATTAGATCTGTAGTTTTTAAGAGAGTCAGAGAATGGGAGTAGAGGAGAGAGGGACAAGGGAGAAGGGAGGGGGCACGGAGAAGAGTGATTGGTAGCTATATGGAGAGCCAGCTGAGTCATCACCAGTACACTCTGTGCCGCATCACTGCGCTTATAGACAGATCCCCTCCACCTCTTCCGTCTCCCGTCTATCTGGCTCCACCTCTGTTTCCTGCTCTTTGACTACACACATCTCTTTCCCTGATTCCTCTCATATCTTATGCACCCCAATCACCTCATTTCTTCCAGCCAGCATCACTCCTTTTGTGATTTCAAAATAACTGCATCTCTGATCTGCTCCTTCCTGTATCTAGGAAGTTACTATCAGGCATGGCAGATGTCTATAGCCGCATTCACACCGCAGGACTTTCCCTGGTACTTTGGTTCTTTAGTTCCGTTAGTACCAGTAATGTTGCGTTCACACCGCCGGGTACTCAGTGCCGGGAACTCTTTTGGCCATTTTCAGTCCCTGCTAGAGAGGTGGTACGAACCTGGTGATAAAAGAGTGCCAATTTCTATTCTATTTCTATTGGCTGGGCGAATTGCAAACCAATTAGACTCTGATTCCGAACCAGCATTGCACTTACAGCATCCGACGAGTGGGTCAAATCCCTAGTTGGCTTCAATAACCCAGTTACAAAGCTGTATAACATTAGCACAAAGACAACAAGCTCAGTGAACTCCATCATGTCTGAGGTCGGAAAGTAAACAAACGCCTCATGTACAGCGGGTGGGCTTTATACCCCCTCCCCCATGTAGTTCTTCTTCTCTCGTTTTTTTTTTGTACTCGCCGTGAAGTGGTTTTGCGGCCTGCCAGTAAACCCAGAGAAGAAGAAGACGAAGTGACGTCAGCGTAATCTTGCCTCAGGGAAAGTACTGCGGTGTGAATGCGATTGGCACTAGCCCCCTGGCGGATTCAGTGCCGTGGTACTTTAGTGCCGGCACTAAAGTACGGCAAGTCCTGCGGTGTGAAAGCGGCCATTGTGCCTATTCTAGTCTGTCCATTTATGGCTGATTTGAAATCACTGAAGTCTATCCCTTAAGAGAAACATATATCTTTAACATGAAGCAGGATTTTCCTTTTCTGTACTTTAAATGTAACAAACCAGTGTTATCGACAGGATTTCGTAAGACTACAGTAGATGGACATGTTTATGAATCTATAGTAGGGCTGCACGATATTGAAAAAAAACTGACATTGCGATATTCTTTTCCCCTGCGATATATATTGCATTTTTTTAACTATATTTGACCGGATGAAGGGTGGAAAAGAATATCGCAATGTCAGTTTTTTTTCAATATCGTGCAGCCCTACNCAAACCAAAGTGGACTAGTGGAGCTTGACCGAGCTTGACAGCCTTCCTTCGGTTTTGATACAGGGTAGAGATGGGGAGGAAAAGGGGCGATGGAAAAAAAAAAGGTTGAGGGGGGGGGGGTTTCTCCCCTTTTCTGATGCTAATGAAAGGAGGAATGGTTTTCCAGCTTTTAGCTTGCAGAGTGTGTCTCCCCTGCAGCATGCTCCGCTGCCTGGACATTGTGGGAGGACAAAACTCCAGGCCCGGGATCCAATAACGTGAAATTTCAGCAGAGAAGCGGCCATTGTGTAGAAAGAGGCAGCCGGGGAGGGGTTGGGTAGAAGGGGGAGACCGAGCGGAGGAAAGGGAGGGTGACTTGGCCAGCACCCAGGGCTCAGGCCACATCCTTTCTCTCTCTCCTCTCCTCCTGCACTCCTCCTCTTCTTCCTTCTCCTCCTTCTCTTCTTCTCCCCCTTCTGTCTTTCTCTCAATAGCCCCCTCATACCCTCCACTCCCCTCTGGGGTGGGAAGCCCAAGGCTGAGACAGGAGCAAAGCATGATGGCATGCTGGAGCCCAGTGAGCCATGGGCCGGAGCAGCAGACAAACGGCCACTTTGTCAACTTAGGAAATGGTTGTCCCAGGATCTCCCTTCTCCACCACACACTGGAGCAGCCGGCCTCGAGGCCCAGGCCTGCCTGCTCTGCACGTGCTCTCTCATCACGCCTCCTCTTCTCTTCAAATATATTCTTTACATGTAGGCTTAACTCCGCTTTAAGTCATGGTGTTTTATTGGCACTTTGTTCTCACTTCAAATAAGGTTTTAAATAATAAGATACCGCACAACTCTTATTATATAGATGCCATAAAAGCCTTTGCACATCCTTTTTTGTGACTAGAAGAAGGCCATATTCAAATGTGTCTGGGAGATGTTGACTGTCACCTTGGTCTCCACCCTGTTCCCATCCACAGCCTCCTCCTCCTCCTCCTCCTCCTCCTCCTCCTTTCCCCACAGTCCTCCGTTACTCTCTCACCCCTCCCTCTGTGTTTCTCTCCTGCTTTTGGTCGGAAATGAAGTCAGTCATCCAGCAGAATAACTTGGAATAATTTGAAATGGGGGGGCTCTTTTCTCTCTATCTCCCCCTCCCCCCCGCCTCTCTCAGGCCCAGGCCAGCTGATCTGCTTCCGCTCTCAATTGTGTGTCCAGTCGACTGTGTGCTCCCAGCGAGGGGCGTGGAGGGCAGCCTTTGTCTCCACCGTCCCACTCTGAACTGTGTGTACTGTGTATGTGTGTTGCAGCAGGTTGCACTCAAATATCTATTTGGACCACTGACTGTTTTTACAACAAGGAAGGAAAGGTTCTTTTATGTGAGGGGAAAAAGAGGAGCGGATGTAACCTTTGTATTCCCCTGTCTTAAAGATTTTACTAAATTGATCTATAGTTTAGTTGTTTGTTGATCTTTGAGTGGTTGGTCTGAAGGTTTCACAAGACATTTTAAACTATTGACTATTCACCTTTAGTGGTACAGTTATTCTCAAAAACGATGTTGCTAGGGTTTTTCAGCAAGATGCAAAAATGCACGTATACACAGTCCACTTAACTTCCTCTCTGGGCCCAGCCCCCCTCCCTGTGAGTGTCATGGTTGCTGGCATGTGTGTGATGGTAGGTCTGAAGGGTCAGGCCCTGGTCATTGTGCCCTGGTCATGGCTGAGCGACACCACCGCCTGCCTTCTGTTCACCCCAGGGACCCCCGCCTGACTGACAGCCCCTCCTGCACCCATCACCCGCATCCTTTATTGGGGGCCATAGCGGGGTGTAACAGCAGCAGTATTTCCCTCTTTTACTGCCCGTTATAATGCACAAAATGCATTTTTCGCCTTTGGCAGGGGTTGTTGTGTAAGGTTAAGCACTACTTCTGTGACGCTGTTATGAGGTGTAACCAGAAAGGGTTTTTCTTGGTAGGTGCGAAGGGGAAGTAAGTTGTGGTGATGTTTTTCTGTCAGTTTCCCACGACCAGTTACTGTTTAGCTTGAGGGCAGCATGAGAGAGAGAAAGAGAGAGAGAGAGAGAGAGAGAGAGAGAGAGGGGAAACTAGTACATTTAGGTTGACAATTAATCCATATGGTTGGTCATTTTATAAATTCTGCAACTGTTATTGTCTAGCATTTCTTTCCGTTCTTTCTTTTTGTTGCCTATGTTTATTCGATTAGCAAACTAGTTGCTTAATTCAGTATTTCATTGGAAATAGAAGAAAAAAACACAATTTAGGGTGACATTTTATTTGCTATTATACTTATTATATAACATTAATATAAAGTAAAAGACTTGCATCCTCACTAAGCCTCCTATCTGTTTTTAGTGTAACTAAAAACATGTACTAGCAAGCCGGCTAAGCTTTGCTGACTTATCAATTAAATGTCATTCTCATCGAACCATTTTCCAGATAGTAAGAGTATTGGACTAAAGGGCATATCATTTTCAAGTCAATTCATATTTGATTAATCATCCTTCAATGTAAGTAAATGAAAAGGATAAATGTTCTGTTGACTCATTGTCAACTTTATATTTAATATTGCGAGCCTGTTAGCAAACAGTTGTTACAAGTTCTGTTTCTGCCACCTAATGAATGTAGTTCAACATTGA